GAAAATCGGGTCTAACTACTTATTTTGATAATTTGCATCTGCGCGTGATTGAATTGACATTAATGAAGTATAGGTTAAGCGAAATCATAAATTCCAACATATTTTCAAAATCAAAATCTTTGTACCTTTTATTTGTTATTTTGTCAATTTAAATCAAAATTGTATCTTTTTACTTTTAAAATCACGTTTTAAAATCTGTGTGTGAATTTCGTTAGACTGAGACAAATAAGTTTATAATTGAATTCAACACTCTCTGTGGGATCGATTTGGACTCTAAAGGTCCACTTTCACTACTTGTTCTCGACCCGTGCACTGGTGGCATAGTATTTCCACCGAACACTAAGAGTGTATATAAGTGTGCGTTCTTCAGAGTTAAGAATTTTTAAGGCTAGGAATCAATGAAGCTCTCTCTCTTACTTTAATGAGGGAGTACTTATACTAAGAGGAAGGGATAGGAGAACCGTTGGATGTAGGGACATGTGGCTTTGGATCCTGGGCAGATCATTCCTTAAAGGCGTCAATCTGTCCATCCATAGGTAGGTATGAAATGTTTCCTGACATAGCAGTGTGAGTTGTCTGCCACTAAGGATTTGATTTGGGGAGATCTTCTCATAAAAGATCTTGGCAGGAGTGGGGAAGTGAATACGGGGTGTGGCGAATGCGGAGTGCGAGCCTTTACATCTGTTGTGTGTGGCGGATGAGTTCGAATCTTCTACGAAGTGAGCATCAGCGTTTCAGTTCGGGCTATTGGATTTAGTTCAATCCCTACAAGTTCAGTTCATTTGCCCGTAACTGAGGCAGGGCAAATCAGTTAGTGCACATTTGGCGGATGAATTGGGTGAACAAGGTGGAGGGGCCACCTACTTTGAGTTCGTTCGTCACGTGGCAACACGAAATCAGTTCGTGCAACACGTGGCGAGCGAAGTGGATGGATGAGGTGGAGGACTCCTGAAGGCCCGTAACATTTACTATTAATGAAATTGATTACGCGATCAATAATTATTATATTAATGTGGGAAAAAAAAAAAAAAAGAGCAACATTATGGTTGTCGAGTTGATTCATTAAACTAAAAGTTTAGCCTAGATTGTTTGAGAGAAATTTTCATGGCAAAGAATGGTGCAATCTTATCTTATTCAAAAAAGAATTGTTCTAGTGACCATTATGCACAGCATGAATTGGAGCAAAAATGATGTGTTTTGGTATGTTTGATTTAGCCAATGGCCAACCACCTTAAACATCTACTAAGCCCTTGTTTTGATCTCCATTTAAATGAGGCTTTGAAAAAAAATATAATTTAAAATAATATTTTTTTAGAGAATTTGTGGTTAAAAATAAGGAAATTTTTTTTTGATTTATGTGAAATATTATTTTATTTAAAAATGTATAGTTGAAAAAGAGTTTTGAAAAAAA